TTCCTTCATCACCTTACACGAAATAGGGTGAATACATCTCATTATAATTATTTTATTCCTTACTACACTCTAGGCCGGTTGGTCTAATCAGATTATTGTATGTATCATCCAAACGGCCTCAGTGATGGCATATACGATTTAATTTCAGAGTTATCTCAGTCTCGAAATCAAGGCTGCTTATTATTGATGCCACCAACTGAAATTCCGTGCAACGTTTTTGGTTCCTGTCGTTTCAATGATTCCTATTGCTTTTTTGGCACACTTTTGAATGACATGTCATTACTTATAACAACAATTTGCCTACATTCTAACGCCTTCACCAGTACAACTCTGTGTATTTGATGACAGAAGGAAAAAGCACATGGATGGATTAAGTAGCGTTTGAAAGTAGTGGTAGCTCTTTTCTGAAAACTAGCCCGGTTTAAAGTGGTGCAAGACCAGTTGGTTGGTTTCGTTACCATGACATGAGTATACCCAGTGGAAATGGGCCTCAGGGTAGCCTCGGACGAACCGGGCCTCTATCGTTTCACTTGGATTGGCCTCAATCAAATGGTTTTTATATTCTGTATGAGTGTGTCTCACAACTATCGGCAAGTCATGGACAGATTGACTAGCGTTCATTATATTTTTTTGACTCGTCTTCGCTGCTATCCCTTGACTAAACTCAAAGCAGAGACGAATAAAAGACGGATATATCTGTTTTTGCCTTAAATTATGCTTTTCATTGCCTGAATCCACATGATCAGCCACATCTAATCCCAATAATTGCCGTGTGTGCCATCTTTCACGTAGTCGAGTAGTTGTTTTCGATGGCTGGGCATATTTTTTTTCAGGAAGTCACCTCAGAGTCACATCATGACCAGTTATGCCTCGAATATGTGGCAAAAGATCGAGCAATAAGACTGTCCAAGAGGTGAAAATTGGCCCATGGCTCTTTTATCCCCGCAAATGCTCACTGCTGCATATCGCCCAGTGTTAATAGGCGAATACTCACTTGATACATTCACAAAAATTACTTGCTAACTAGAGTCCTTTTAAGTTAATGACATCTTCATTCTTTCAATGCAAGAAAATATAATATATGCAACCTTTTCGACAATTATCGTCTCCTTCTGCCCGTAAATTGTTGCTCAAAGCTTTTATAAAGGCTATTTTAGGCTTGTTTTAATTTTTTTTAATCATTCTTATGCGGACGAAAAAAACGTTTAGGGGCTGGTAGAACTTATTCACAATTTGGTGAGTAAAGACTGCATACCTTAATTTTGATGGAAGTACTCTTGGAGATTAATAGTGCCACTGATAATGTTTTTACGACTATTCCATTAAAGGTATCTAGTTATTTTGTAACCACATTAAGATTTTACTAATTTCTAAACTCAAAATGGGCACAAAGATTTGAATAATATGCATATGCTCTTTTTATATTGTCATGGCTAGTAATCGCCTTTTTCAAAAACAATCTTATCGACTTGTCATTTTGCTTAGAGATGATTTAAATCTGAATTTTATGCTCTTAAAGCTTGGTAAAATATTCCCACTCAACTTGTCTTTAAAAAATTAATTTTTCATTTGATAGGGTAATAAGCTTTAGTCCTTACTATTAAATTATCTCCTTTAACTTTTTTTATTTGTACTTTTTATCTCTTCTTTTCATCAGATCTTTTTTATCTAGTATGATCTTTACTAAATCAGCATCAGCTGCCCACACTCCATCTTCATGAAGATGCTGTAGCTTGTAGCCGCATACTCACAGCTTACTTTCACTGTTGATTTTGTTTACTTTCACAAATTTCTGTCTGTTATTTTGCGTGTTGCAAGGTCTCTAGTGTGTCTTTCCTCTTTTTTTACAGCTCCTGAAGTAGTCAAAAGCGAGCGCTACTCTTTTAGTCCAGATTGGTTTGGTTTAGGTTGTATCATCTACGAGATGATCATGGGCCAAGCTCCGTTTCGGAAGCGCAAGGAGCGTGTGAAGCGCGAGGAGGTCGACCGCCGAGTCTGCGAGGTTGCAGAGGAATATACGTCCAAATTCTCAGATGCATCCCGAATTCTCTGTCAGGCGGTAGGTAGATGTCATGTTTCTCGACTGTTTTTCTTCTTGCCCGGATTATTTCAGATTCCTATATCTTGAAAATCATACGCATAGGATGTGGAATCAAAAATATTGCAAATTTGCTCGTTAAATTTTGAAAGAAGGAACTCGTAGATTGCCAAAATTCAAACAAAGCTATCTTTATACTTTATAAGATTGCGCTCTGCTTGATCATTAATTAGAGTGCTACAGGCTCTTACACAGTTGCCTCGCCCCTGTCCGACATGTGACTTAAAATGTGTGATCTAGACATCAGGTTTTATGAGGGACTGTCGAAGTTCTTTTAGCTGCCATAAGCCAAAAACTCCTATTATAAGCTCACTCTCTATCTTGAAAGCTTAACAAATGTATCATCAACGATGTATCCTAATCGGTAATTCTGCTAAGTTAGGTATGTATGACCTATTTAATCTAATTGTATGAATGCGTGCGACTATGAAATTCTGTCATGCTTCGTCAATTCTGTTTTAGGACAAGCTTGGCTTGCCTTAAAAGTTAGTCTTTGGTGTTGTGGCTGAGTAGACGAGCGGTAACGGTTTCGACGGTTTCGAAATCGAGTTGGGTTGCCGATTAGTCACATACGAGGTTGTTGCTGGAGTCCAACTCGGATGAGAAAGCATTTTAAGGGAAGGGCTAAGTGAAATTACACAGTGTTGTGAGGTGTTTTATTCATTTTATTTGGGAAAATTCAGATATCCTTCCTTGACTAATCTTAAGCGACCTGAGATGACTCGAGTTCTTATGGAAGATTTTACTACATATGTTTCATTAGCGAATAAAGTTTTATTTAAAGAATGTCATATATCTCCTCATACCTCACTCAATTTTTTCTTTAGTGTATAAAGTGACAATTCAGTGGCCTTTTAGTTTTATCTTCCTCTCCGTCTTGGTATAGGGAATTTTATCTTTAGCCTATTTCCTAGTTAGACAGCTGTCTATTTATTTAGTAAGAGCTGAAATTTTTTTCTAGTTCTCTATTCTCCTCTATATCTGCTAAGCACAGACCTCTTATCGTGTAAATCATGAGACCAATCTTGTTTCACCAACTACGACTAGATAAGAAAGTGTTATGGTGACGCTTCTGTGCGAGCCCTCGATATATCTCTTGTTGGCTAAGTAGCCGTTTTATTGACTATAAAAAACCGCCAGTGACCTGATGTAATGCTTTTTATATTCTTTATTTATGAAAATAATTATAAACGGAGCCTTCCCTTTTTCCCATATACTCTTTTTTGACAAACAATGACCATTTAATTTTTCGTATCTACCTCTCACAAAGGACCATTTAAGTCTCTGTCATCTGTTTTCCCTCACTACTAAGTTCCAAATCATTTGCATTTATCTTGACTTATTAGACTTTTCGTCGTTTCCTGATATGGCTCGCATTTTTTCTCTTTCTCTTTCATACTGTTCTACAAAATATAAGGCAGAATATTGTCTTAGTCTTCTTTTGCAGTATTTAGAGAAATATTGGTTCGTTTATGGTGGGGCAAGACTGGTGTATGAATCAGCCATAATAAGCGGAAGACAAAACCCTACGATGCCATGTGATCCTGTCACATTTTCTTTTATAATACCAATTTTTTTATTAGGCTTTCTAATTAATATGTGGATCACCCTAGGTCACTTAGGCGTAGTGATAACTGAATTTTACGTCAATGAATCGAATTTGCCTCGCAAATTCATTAAAATTCGCGTAGAATTATCACCCGACAGCTTTCTTATTCAGATGGGACTTGAGTTTCATCATTATTGTCATCGGTCTCTTCAGTAGCTCCAGCAGAATTTGAAAAATTGGTCATGAATGTTGAGTGGCCCTACGTTACCATTCCGCCACCCGGTCATAAATGCCATTTGGTAACAAGGCAGATACAACTTTCAAAGACAGATCCTTATTCACTCTCGAATCACACTTTTTTGTGGGATTGTCACTACAGACTTGTATATTACACTACGATTGACGATACTACTTGTTTTTCGAATGAATATTATTCAATACTTGAAGAAAGCCTAATGGCGAAAGTCGCTGAGTGAAGGCGCAACCATCAGTTATCAAATCATCTTACGCCACCCAGGATGACTAAATAAATTTTCTGTTTTATTATTTATACAGAATGTAGATCAAGTAGTGAAAACATCATCCTAGGACTCCAAACTTAGAATGGTCACTTGATTGTGGATTTTATTGGTAATAGGTTTTGCTCTTGGCCTTTAAGCCCTAAGTTTGACCTCTTCTTAGACCAAGGCGAGATCAAAATTAGAGTTCATTCTGGATGAAGATGCACATTTTGGTTGGCCTTCTCTCTTTATTCCATCGTGGACAAGTTATTTATTTTATTATTGCTTCACATTCATGCATCATTTATAGTGTGTCAAGTGATATCGCCACCTGTTTCAGACCAAACTATTTTCTACTTTTATATTTAGCCTCGGGTCTTGCCTACTCACTAAATGAACTGTTACCAGTTGGCATTCTAATCAGTAAATTGCTTATTTTCATTTTATACTTAGGTCTTCTGGACTACTAATTTATCGTATATATTAGATGTGTTTATCCTATTTGGTCTGAGGCGACGCATCATTAGTCGTTTAATTTTCTCACTACGTCTACGTTTAATTTCACACAGCCTTAGATATCAGGTCTGCTTAGTGATCAACATTTCGAGACTCCGCTATACCACCACAATCCGTGTCCGAGTCTTGCTGGGGTTGCCGATAAGACCAGTTCAGACGAGCCAGAAGCTGCACTCCACTCCTGTTTGGATGCGACTACCTTTTGGGAAGTAGGGCTGTATGAACTTAAATGGAAACATAAGGACTACTCACATCATTGTAGGAAAATTCAGCTATCGGTCCTTCATCACCTTAAACGAAATAGGCTGAGTGTATCTCATATATGTGATCTACTAGTAATCTAGAAAACCCAATTATAAAACGATCATAAATTACTCTGCATAGAATGCTAACTGGTATGAAATTCACTTTGTTCTCTCTTACCTTAATCTTCCATTTCTCTGTCAATATGCGTCAACGGGTATATAATTGGATGGATGTAGAAAGTTTTTCTAAACCCTATTATTTTTCAAATGACAGCCATTCATCATTTTAAAAATAATGTCTAACGGGTTCTTTTATTTTCAATCACTTCTTGATCTCTTTCCTACTGACTTGGCTTCCATGAATTGGTAGACTTCTTTGTATATTAATGAGTTAACTTCCTTCGTCAACGGTACAAGGACAAATATAGCGTCGCTTTAGTTGACAGTTTTCTTTTATTTCGTAAAGTTGAATTTGCCTCGTTTTCACAATTTTCCCCTGTCGACAGATAGACCTCAAAGAATGTAGCCCATTCCGCATTTTATAGCCTTCTATCATGTGATCTTCCATCGGTCGGGCGACTGCTATTCATCTCATCGACAGACATTTTAAGAAGTTTTGCTCTGTTTAGTGACACTGGATAAATCTATGGGAATGTACACAATCAACGGTTAAGTGTTAATTTGTTAGAGAGAGAAGTGAAACCAACTTTTTGATCCATGTTTCTGGTATATTAACCCATCCAGTATTCTCATATCTCGCTCCTTTTACATTTTCTAACCTGTTTATTTTGGACTACTCCAGAAAACCTCCGTTTATGGGCTGGTCTAATAAAGCCTAATTACATTTTCAGCTGCTTTCCCTCTCCTTTCGTGTCGGAATTGCTGATTCGACTTGGCTCTTTCTGTTTGCACACTAATTCACCAAAGCCTAATCAGATTCTTCTGCGTGCCATCGAGTGACCGGCTTTTTTCTCAATGGTCCACTGATTTCACTCGGCGTCTGCCAGCCTATCCGTCAACCTGAGGCCTCATTTGCTATGATCTGCCCAAACATATGCAACAGCCTCATCGAAGAGTCCTCCCGCTCCTTGATTCTTACGCTTACTAACATCCCTCTAGTGCTAGAGCCCATCTTGACCCTGTGCTTTTCCTTATTTCAGCTCGGAACGTCTACTTAGTTGGTAGATCTGATGGACTAACCCTGTGATTTAGCCCGGTCACTGCGATACAACCGAAATATTGCTTTTGGTATCCTCACTTGTCCACCTTTTCC